CCCCGCTCGCCCCCCGCTGCGTGACAACTTTTTTTCGGCGCGCCGCTCCACCTCTCGCTATTAGATGATGCCCCACCGTTGCCAGTCGAGTCCGGCCTGCCACCTTCTACGCTCTCATTCGCTCAGACATTAAAATTAATTTCTCGATAACTATTGCGAATTTTGCAAAATGGTATAGGAATTTTCTATTCAGTTTGCCCCGGTCTATCTACCATCTACGGGACATACGGGTATTAGGACATACCCTGTATGCATAAAAAATACAGAGACTGATGAAATGAAACAATTTCAAATTTACCTGAGTTGTTAACACTTCGCCAACAGCACAATAAATACACATGTGACCAAACGTATTGACAAAGGCGATTACAATATACATAACGTTAAAGACGGTAATATGCTGTTTATTTTCGAGCATCTAGTTATATCATTAAAATATACAATTATATATAATATTCATATGTTACTAAGATATTTATATTTTCAATACTACTATTAGAATCCGTGAGCTTCATTATTATTTCTTTTATCCATAAAATTTTTTAAATTTAGTGTAACACTTAGTTTTAAAAACATTTTTTAACGTGTGTTTTTCTTGTATTATATTTTTAACGAAAATACGTTAGTATTATTAACGAATGTAAAACATTTATTATTTTAGGAAACAATATATGTATATTAATGTTTGCATTGAGAAATTTGCTCGTATCAAAGTAATTTAAATTGAAACGTGGTGATATGTAATAAATAAATATAACAATGTTTTAAAACATTTACTGAAAATAAATTCCAAAGTATTAGAAAATCTACAATATGTATAAATAAAAAAATAGAATAAAATTAGTTGTGATTATTGTGAGATGTTTGATGTAAAAATATAAGGATTTTCTATATTAAAATTGTCTATGAAATAAAAAATCATAATTAACTTTTATCAGTATACTTACATTTATTATCCAAAAACCATAGAAAGCGAAAAGAATTCCGAAATATAAAAATAATACCATCAATATTATGTTGAATACATCTTCTATATGATCAATAGCTCTGTAGAAAAAACATTGCATAACAAATATAATACCGAATAAAATATTTTTCTAGATAGAAAGATATCACAATATATAGGGTCATCGTAAAGTATCGGACCCTCCTGATATTTTCAGTTAGAATGCATTTTGGAGAAAATGTCCAATAGCAAAGTTGTATGGTTTCAAGCAGGGAGTAAGATGATGACCCATGTCCTCCAAGGTCATTTCAAGGCCAACTTGATTTTTTAAAATGGAACTCCCTACTTTTTATTTTATATTCTTACAGTCTATCTCGAGAGCTATCCAGAACACTGTAATAATACATTTTTTCCTTAAGTACTTTGTGAGTTATAAAGTGAAGTTAACTATTTTTTGACACAAAATGTAACATAACTAGTAAAATATTAGTTAGTTTTCGGTAATCATAACCTTAATACTGTTGTGCGTGGAATAATGAGAACAAATAATTGGTTTAAAGAAAATATATAATATAATCGAAAAGTATCGGACCCCCCTAATATTTTCAGTAAGAATGCATTTGGAAAACGTCCATGCAATATCAGTGTTGTACGGGTTCAAGCTGGGAATAAGATGCTGACTTCGATTTTGATCTTGTCCTTCATGGTAATTTGAAGACCAAGTTCAAAACTTAAATGAGTTATTTTCAAAACTTTTTCAAAAACAGGATTATGTATTTTCTTTAAAACAATTAATTGGTCCCATTATTCCGCATACAAAAGTATTAAAGTTAGGATTACCGAAAACTGAATAATATTTTACAAGATATTTTACATTTTGTGTACAAAAATTGTTAAATTCAAACCTTTATAACTCACAAAGTACATAATGAAAAATGTTCTATTAAAGTGTTTTGGAAAGTTCTCGCGGTAAGATATAAGATATAAGAATATGCAATAAATAGTATAGAGGGTTCTATTAAAAAAATTAAGTTGACCCTAAACTGACCTTGAAAAACTTGGTCAAGCTCAAAGTCAAGGTCGTCATCTCACTGCCCGCTTCAAATTATACAACTTTGCTATTGGACATTCTCTCCAAAATACATTCTGACTGAAATTATCAGGGGGGGGGGGGGTCCGATACTTTTTGATGACCCTGTATAAAGATATACCTAAGTAGCCGGATATGTTCTATCACACAATTTTTTAAAACCTTGCTGTAATTTGCGACATTATGTAAATGCATAATACGATTTCTCAGAATGTCCATTTGACCGGAGATATGAAATACCGAAAGACTAAGAAAATTGTCAATGCCTGAATAGCACATAACATTGAAAACAAGGGCAATACTTTGAATAGTGAATGTTAGTTCATATTGTGGACTTTTAGTTGTGTCGTAGATATAATATGTCTGAAGTGGTAATGGTCTCTCCAGATCAGTGATATTAGACAGGTATCTCACCGAGTGGCCAAATATCGGTAAAACAACTAAAACAAACAAGCCCACTCCCATTATGCTGTATGCAAATGTTATAATGATGCGCGCAATTTGTGCTTTTGCGATCATCGTTGTTTCTTCCTGTCGTGTTTTCGCCTTTAACCAATCGTAAGCGATCATGTTTATTATTGCTGAGACTGCTATAAAAACATGGCATCAAAGAAAATTAATTTTTGTTCTTTAAAAAATATAATATAATTTAAGATATTCAACTCCATTTCTGAATAGTAAATAGAAAATTTAGTTAGGTTCAAATATAAGATATCTATGAAAACATTTTAAATCGTTTAATAACTAAGTTGAAACTGTATTTACCCTTTCTTTTCCACCAGAAGATTGGAAATCTGAGGATGCAAGTAATAACTGGTAAAGTAAGCTGCAAGTTATCTGTCAGTAATAAAATGTCGAAATGGATTCTTATCATGGAATGTATTGCAGGAATCGCAACAACGAATAATATCATTGAGAAAACGAGAAACGCACGTACATTGCACATACGTTTTTCCCATGTTGTTTGTTTGGACTTAGGCCAAAGTCCAATTAATACTAGACTATATCGATTTAACTTCACTGCCCATTCGAAATCTATCTTTTGCAAAAATTTTAGTATATGTTAAAATTTTTTATATACAGGGTGC